GACCTTTTACCTGCTTAATTGATGAAGAAATAACGAAGGAGTAGCCACACCTGGCCATGAAACAGCTTTTGATTCAATTGTCCAATTACTTTTGGTCCCTTGAAAAAGGGAGGATGGTTACTCTTAAGAGCTGTCAGTCCTAAACCCTTCCTCCAATTTGGATGCCCCATACACTCAAATTAAACCTGAGAGTGTGCACTTTAAACCCATATCCATTATATAACTATAACTTGAATATGTTTTGGTAAATACTTGAAAAAATCTAAAATTGTGCCTGTCTCCAAATATATATGGACCTAACTGTATATAGTATATACAGTATATATAAGTTGATGAAATTTAGTTCTGTGAATGTTTATTTTGGTGTACCAAAAGTTTACGTTTTGGGAGTATGTCAAGTGGCAATAAGAAGGCCATTGCTAATATGTCAAACTAAGAAAAGAAGGGGCTTGCCTGGGCCACAAACCACAGCCACAGAGGACTGAAGGATGGTCTTATGGATTGAAAAATTTAAATGTAAACCTTCGTTTGATTACATAGTGTTCTGCTATGCAGTCAAGTAGATAAACAGATGGTCCCCAGACACTTGGGGGTTTATTTACTAAAGCTGGAGAGTGCAATATCAGACTCATTTCTGCATAGAAACCAATCAGCTTCCAGGTTTCATTGCCAAAGCTTCATTGAACAAGCTGAGGTTAGAAGCTGATTGGTTTCTATGCAGAAGGGAGTCTGATTTTGGACTCTCCAGCTTTAGTAAATAAACTCCCTGATATCAACTGTTAAACATGGAGGGGGAAGCATGATGGTCAGAGCTCTTATACTGCAACACGGGGCGGATTGACCATTTGGAAACTCGGGCACTGCCCAAGGGCCCGGGGTCAGTAGGGGGCCCCATGAGTTGCCCCTGGTACCTTTTTCATAGGCTTTTTTGAGTTTGGGCAAGAACACAGGGGCCCCATGATCCCCTATTGCCCGGGGCCCCATGAGTTGTCAGTCTGCCCCTGCTGCAACATGAACCAAAATAAACTACCATAACATTTTGTACCATGCAATACCTTCCTGCCTATTAGTCGTTCAGACGTTCATCCTACAACAAGATAATGACCCAAAATATGCCTCCAGGCAATGTCAGAACTGTGTTGGCAGAAAAAAACAAAACTGTATGAGTGGCCAGCACATTTTTCAAACTTCAACCCCATTGAGCAGGTTTGGGAAGAACCTGACAGTAGGATGAAAGCAAGCAGCATACATGTTCTTCAACTTTCTAGACAATATCTGATTTACATTGTAGAAAGAAGTTCACAAATGTGTTTGGCTGTTATATCTACAAACTATAGCTGCTTTAAAGAGTTAAAATGTAGATTACATTTTGTTAAATAAAATGACTCAATGTTTAATTTTTATCTCCAGTCGATTATTCTATACTTTCATCTCAGAGTACATTGAGACAATGATCTTCTTTTCCTGGTGCATCTATGCTGAAGGTTTGCATCAAGAAAGTTACTTTAGTCATTCAGTTGCACAGTCAAGAACTACTATTGTAAATTAATCCAAATATATTATTGCTAATTTTTATATTAATATTTCTAGCTCAATTATTATTTGAAAAATATATACTTCCGGACCATTGGTGGAGAGGAAGTTTATTTTAATGAAGATAGGAATCTTCCTGCCAAGTTTGATATTTTAAACCTAATAATGTGGCCAAACGCAACAAATCAAAAGAAGAAGGTTGGGTATTATTACCAAACTGCGAACAGTTACCAAATGTATATCAATAACAGTGCCATCCAGTGGAATCCAGTTTTCACTCAGGTATTATTGAGCATGTGGATATTTTGGTTTCAATTTTATTTGTTGGCATAAATTTTTAGATATTCTGTACATACCTCCATTATGGGCCCTTGATGGTGCAAACCAAGGAAAACAGGCAGTAAAGGTGTGTTTGTGCTTAATAGTGCAGATTGAAAGAAACTCTGAAATAAATATGAACACCTTCCATCATGTCAGAGATTAAAAAAGATACCCTTGAAGGTGAGAAGGGAATCTCACTACCGAGGTTACGTGCCGAGTATGTCACTCCCACTTGGTGGCAGGATCACTCCGATATTGAGGGGTCTTGAGTATAGAGCCAATGACCACTTGTATAAAAAAGGTACCCTTGGCCCAATGCACAAACCTAGCACTGAACAGTGGCATAGGCACATCATGATGAACAGCAGGAATAGCTTAAAAGGGTATGGTTAGACAGAGCCCAGGCCTCCTTACTGTTTACATTGCACATAAACATTCCTTTTACCTACAAAATATGGAATAATTACGGTGCCACATGCAACAATCTTACAGACACACACAAAAACCTCAGGGCAAAAAATAGTTATCAGAAAATGAAATTTTTCCATTATATATTATTTAATGCCCACAGGATATAGAAATACAACAGAAGCACTTTCCTGGTTCTAGAATACGGAAGGACATCAGTGAAATATATGAGAGCTACTTAGCTGCAACCACAAACTATCCACTAGACAATCAAAACTTTGGTTTGGAGGATGTAATGCACAGTCCAGCTTACAGACTGCAACAGTCATAAGAACTTACAATATAACATAGTGTATAGTGGAGTGACTATAAGTATATACAATATACAGTAGCATAGCATATAGAGTGCAGCAGTAAGGGTTGTCTAATTGTACAGGATGCCAGGGATGGGTCCTGGATTGGAGATAAGAGCACCCTTTGTTTGGGTTGTCATCCCTTTAGGAGTTTAATAAGAGACAGGGATTCTCAATTAGCAGCAGGGTGAGGGTTCCAGGCCAATCCGGTTGAAAAGGAGAAAAACTGATATACAGTTTTCTCAGGATTGGTAAGTCCTGACATGGAACCTGGAATTCAGAGGCTCAGAAAGATTTTTTGGTGGAAAGAACCTCCAGCCCTGACTACGGGTATCTGTAAGGGTTAACCTGCCAGTAAGAGAGGGTTGGAAAGGGCAGGAAGCAGTCAGTTGGTGTTGATGAGATGTGATGTGGAGCAGGGCATGCTTGTGAGGAAAAGCTGTATGCTGTGTGTTGTTGAGGCACTGATGGCTGTGGTGACCTTTTTTGAAGACCGCACCTGAAGTAGACATGGAATTTTTAATTATATTAAGAGGAGAAGGCAACAAGACCCATGTGTATTGTGATCTCTACCTTGTCACTTGCTTTGACTGGTACTACGTTCGTTATTGAAGGACACTGAAAAATGCAAAAACCCTCACTGAAAAGACTACTGGGACTTTTTAGGTACCGTACCAACAACAAAACAAATGTAGCACCCTCCTAGTGTAGCTAGGGGCAGCTAGAGCATTGATTGTCAGTGAGGAGGGCTGAGTACTAGCTCAGGTGTAATAACCAGAAAGTCAAATTGTGGTCAGGAGCTGAGGCACTGCAGGCCGCCCCTCTGGAATTTCCCCCTGCTCTAGGGCTTTGGAGGAAGGTCCTACAGGCAATGGGTGGATCTGAGGAGTGGCTGGCTTGCAGTTGTGAGGGATCCTAGCCAATCCCCAACAGGAAGTTGGATAGGGCTGCGGCACCCTTAAAGTTTTGAAGCCTGCTCAGCTGCAGGAGAGTTTGGGTAGACAGTGAGGAAGATGTGAGGCTAAAGGCAGGAAGCTGAGAGAAGGCCCAGTGAGATGGAGCCTACCTGCAGGCCTGGAGCTGGAAAGGGAGAAGCTCATATTTTCACTGGCCCCCAGAGCGAGGACCACCTGTGTGTCAGGGAAGGAGCGGCCCAGCTAGTAAAACCTGAAGGCAGCCACCAACCACCAGCAGTAAAGGAGAGAATCTAAGTGAGTATCCCTGCACCCCCTGGGCTGATGAGCAGACTCACTACCTACTTGGAACTGTCCACATTTAAAGTGACAGACACCAGATACCCTGTTCAGGGATACCTCCAGATTGCTGGGTGAAGAAGAGGAGTTGATCTAGGGTCTGGGGTGGTACATTAACAGAGACTGTGATACAGAGAAGACATGTAAATAGTTCCAGGACGTTGTCCTCAGTTCATCAGTTTCCTTGGGCATCCTGTACACCCCTAACCCTATCCCAGTTCAAATCCCAACAAACAACAAAACCAAAGCTCAAGGACTGATTTCTGACTCTGGATGCAAACCAGTGTGAACATGCATGTTGCCTGGCTGTGCAGGACTATAGGGGGACCCAAATCTTTTAGTGACTCCTAAGAGGGTAGTGCTATACATACAAATATTATAAAATAATCATAACTTTATTATATAGTATTAAAAAACATGATTGTATTAAAAAAAATAGAGCATCAACAGGCTCCTAAAAGCATATAAGCCATTGCATGCATGTTGTAACAATACAAACATCAAGCTTAATATAATTAGCTCCGGGATTACATATAAAATGCATAAGCAAAATGTGATATACCGTATTTTCCGGCGTATAAGGCGACTGGGTGTATAAGACGACCCCCTAATTTTCCAGTTAAAACATAGGTTTTGGGCTATACTCGTTGTATAAGACTACCCCCCTTCCGAGGCAACACCATTTAACCCCTCGCCTACAGGGCACTTATACTTACTTCCCCCCAGGCCAATTTTCAGCTTTCAGTGCTGTCACACTTTGAATGACAATTGTGCGGTCATGCAACACTGTACCCACATGAAATAGGTGGCACTGATGGGCACTGATGAGGAGGCACTGGTAGGTGGCACTGATGGGCATTGACAGGCATCACTGATGGGCACTGAAAAGCAGCACTGATACATGGCACTGATAGGCGGCACTGACTGGCACTGTTAGGCGGCACTGACTGGCACTGTTAGGCGGCACTGACTGGCACTGATAGGTGGCACTGATTGGCATCACTGATGGGCATTGACAGGCATCACTGATGGGCACTGAAAGGCACCACTAATACATGGCACTGATAGGGGGCACTGACTGGCACTAATAGGTGGCACTGATTGGCAGCACTGATAGGTGGCACTGACTGGCACTGATGGGTGACACTGAAAGGCAGCTCATATGGGCACTGATATGTGGCATTGATGTGCACTGGTAGGCACTGATATGTGGCATTGATGTGGCACTGATGGACACTGACAGCTGGCACTGATGGACTCTGACAGGTGGCACTTCTGGGGCCACACTGATCATCAGGGCACACTGATCATCAGTGCCCTGATGATCAGTGTAGATGTCCCCTCCGCGGAAAGCCGATTACCGGCTCTCCTCTCCTCTGTCAGCGTGACAGCTCGAGAGGAGAGAAATGCCGATAACCGGCATTTCCCTGTTTACATGTGATCAGCTGTGATTGGACACAGCTGATCACATGACCAAGCCGACATCTTCGGCTCTTTCCGTTATCGGTGATAGCTGTGTTCGAGGGACACAGCGCATCTCCGCACATGCGCGGAGAATGGGAGAACGTCATATGAGCCAATCACGGCAAGTGATGTATTCTATTATTGAATACAGAGCCTGCTCGGATTGGCTGTGTCAGAGAGGTGGGCTGATGATGTCACAACTTCAGCCAATCCGAGCAGGCTCTGTATTCATTAATAGAATACATCACTCGCCGTGATTGGCTCAGCGCAGTACACTGTATGTAGCTGAAGCTACCATACAGTATTACCGCACATCCAGCGTTCTATACCCGGCGTATAAGATGACCCCCAATTGTTGGGGTATGTTTTTAAGTAAAAAAAAGTTCTTATACGCCGGAAAATACAGTATATAACTCCTAGATGTAAGTAGCTACGACATGTTTCGCAGTTCAAAAGTCCACTTCCTCAAGGAGATCTTCTCTGCTCACTGTACTGATATGTTTGTACCAGGGCCGGATCTAGCCGGTCTGATATGATCAGTGGGATTCTAGCCAGTCTGATATGGGGGTGCAGTAAAAAATGTCAGGGGGCAGAGGATAAGAGGTCAGCAAGGCAGTGCACAAAAACAGAAATCCGTAGCTGAGTGTACTGGGGGTCAGCAGGGCATTGGACAGGAATTATCAGAGCAAAGGGCTGGGATATAGTTTGTAGAGCAGTGTACGGGGGGTCAGCAGGGCAGAGGATGAATGGTCAGCAGGGTGGAGGACAGGGGTCAATATGGTAGTGTATTGCAGGGTTCAGCAGTTTGTAGACCAGTGTACAGGGGGTCAGCAGGGCAGAGGATGGGTTGTCAGCAGGGTGGAGGACAGGGGTCAGTATGGTAGTGTATTGCAGGGGTCAGCAGTTTGTAGGCCAGTGTACAGGGGGTCAGCAGGGCAGAGGATGGGTGGTCAGCAGGGTGGAGGACAGGGGTCAGTATGGTAGTGTATTGCAGAGGTCAGCAGTTTGTAGGCCAGTGTACAGGGGGTCAGCAGGGCAGAGGATGAGTGGTCAGCAGAGTGAAGGACAGGGGTCAGTATGGTAGTGTATTGCAGGGGTCAGCAGTTTGTAGGCCAGTGTACAGGGGGTCAGCAGGGCAGAGGATAGGTGGTCAGCAGGGTGGAGGACAGGGGTCAGTATGGTAGTGTATTGCAGGGGTCAGCAGTTTGTAGGTCAGTGTACAGGGGGTCAGCAGGGCAGAGGATGGGTTGTCAGCAGGGTGGAGGACAGGGGTCAGTATGGTAGTGTATTGCAGGGGTCAGCAGTTTGTAGGCCAGTGTACAGGGGGTCAGCAGGGCCGAGGATGAGTGGTCAGCAGAGTGAAGGACAGGGGTCAGTATGGTAGTGTATTGCAGGGGTCAGCAGTTTGTAGGCCAGTGTACAGGGGGTCAGCAGGGCAGAGGATGGGTGGTCAGCAGGGTGGAGGACAGGGGTCAGTATGGTAGTGTATTGCAGGGGTCAGCAGTTTGTAGGTCAGTGTACAGGGGGTCAGCAGGGCAGAGGATGGGTGGTCAGCAGGGTGGAGGACAGGGGTCAGTATGGTAGTGTATTGCAGGGGTCAGCAGTTTGTAGGTCAGTGTTGCAGGGCAGAGGATGGGTTGTCAGCAGGGTGGAGGACAGGGGTCAGTTGTATTGCAGGGGTCAGCAGTTTGTAGGGCAGTGTACAGGGGGTCAGCAGGGCAGAGGAGGGTGGTCAGCAGGGTGGAGGACAGGGGTCAGTATGGTAGTGTATTGCAGGGGTCAGCAGTTTGTAGGCCAGTGTACAGGGGGTCAGCAGGACAGAGAAGTGTACAGTGGTCAGTATGGCAGTGTACAGGGGCCAGCAGTGCACAGGACATACAGTGCATCCAGAAAGTATTCCCAGTACTTAACTTTTGCCACATTTTGTTATGTTACAACCTTATTCCAAAATGGATTAATAAGACCCTCCCACTGGCCAGCCTCAGAACTTATTTCTCTGTTCTTTCCCAGGGTGCCCCATGTATTTCATGATCCCAGTCTTGCTCACATTTTGTCATCCTCTTTTGACTTATTGTAAAGCCAGTCAGATTACTTGTTATGAGTATTGTTAATAATGTCCATGTGTCAGGAATGGACTCAGCACTGGTGGTGGGACTCACCTGCCGTGTGGGCTGCAGTACCAGAGCTGACCAGCGGGTGCTCTTAGCAGCCAGAAGCTCACAATCAGCCAAACCTGGGGCTGATTGCAGAAAGGTGTATTTAAGCCATGACCAGGCCTGTGCTCTGGGCCTTGGTGTATGTTTTCCCATGAGCCTCTGTACCTGGTATCCTGTGTTCCTGCTTCGTTGCTGACCCGGCTTGATTCTGACCTCTGCTGACCATCTCCTGTTGAACCCCTGGCTTGCCTGACCATCCTTCTGCTTGATCCCCTGTACCGCGCTGCCCGTGAGTTACTGAACCCGGCTTGTGACCTTGACCATTCTCTGCCTGCTCCTTTTGGTACCTTGCTGCCCGCACGTTGCTGACTTGGCCCGTCTGACCACGCTAACTACTCTGCCATCCATCCATCCTGCACGGATCCAGCCATACCTGCACATGCCTCTGGCGGATCCCTCTACCACTAGCAGGTGTACTCAGGGGCCGCGACCTGGTTCCTGTCTGCTCCAAGTCCTTCCCCACCATCAGGGGCCCTGGTGAATAAGCAGGCTGGGACTTAGACTCCGCGCCCTGGGGAATCCTGTCCTGCGGACCACTAGAGATACCACCAAACGGTCATTACAGAACCCTACGGCCGGCCTGACCGTTCCACCTCTCCAGCCCTGACTACGCCTGTGTTCCTGCACCTACTAAGATTAGTGGAAGGTTGGTTTGTTCACTGTGCGTTTCTATATATATCTGGGTGGCTAATAGTAAACTGTATTATTATACTATACCTGGAACCTGCGTTTCCCTGTGTCAGTCCACACCTTTCTGGTCATTCCTTGATTCCTGACACCATGTTTACATATTGTTTATACTGTTTAGAGGCTAAGTTTGCCTTTAAAAACATATTATACAGTGCATCCAGAAAGTATTCACAGCGCTTTTGCCACATTTTGTTATGTTACAGCCTGATTCCAAAATGAATTAAATTCATTTTTTTCCCTCAACATTCTACAAACAATACCCCATAATGACAACATGAAAGAAGTTCATTTTGAAATCTTTGCAATTTATTAACCACTAGAGGACCATCCCGCAGTACATATACTGCTACAAGGCGGCCCCTGTGCGCAGGATCAAGTATATAAACGTAACGGAACTGGACCCCAGACCGCACTTGGATATATTCCGTCATACCGCAGCTTACCTGTCTGAACACAAATCCACGGACCACACCCTTGATATCCCTCGGGAAATAGACAGCACCCGACTCTTCTTAAAACAGGAAGTCAACTCCTTTATTTTACACACACAACAAGTTATATACACAGGACGGGGAAACACAACCAGGAACAGGAAACACATCATCAGCCCACCCCATCAGTGGGGAGGGCTACAGGAAACACATCATCACCCCTCCCCATCCAGCCAAGACACAAAACAATGGGGCAGCACATGGCAAAAGGACAATAGACAGCAGTGAGAGGGTCTTAAAGGGGGATTGAACATATTCTGTGCCTGCTGTATACAATGCACACATATACCACAGTCTTCGTACCCACAAAATACTAAATACTGTGCCACAAAGACACAAATAAACCGGACAAAGGAACATTTTTTTTTTATGCATTTTTTCCATTGCATATCCACACAAAAAGGATATTTGTGCCCTAGGTGGCCATACTTGGATCAAAATTCATCTGCTTCAGTATCGACCTGTTGAATTTCAATCCATATATGGGCAGGGTGGTTGTAGAGAAGTCGCTCTACCAATCAACTTCTGTACAATCAGCCTCTAGGAAAATTTCTGCACAATTAGCACCGCCAGCTATAGCTGTCAGCACTGATCAGTGTATTCTGGTGGCATTGAAGTCTCTTCTCTGTCAGAACACATTACCTCAGCGGGAGTGATTCCCCATCCACATTGAATTTGTGGATGAATGAATCGAGTAATTTTTTTTTTGTTTTACACATTATTGAACGAAAAAAAAAAAATACCCAATGTCTGGGCCACCTTACTGAGCCTACCTTAAAGAGGAACTCCATTAATATCAGCAGCTGTTGAGAAAATGAACACCTTGGTCAGGTCTATGTATATCTATGTATAATGTACAGAATACAGGGGTCAATAGGGCAATAGGGGATCATGGGGCCCCTGTATCCTTGCCCAAACTCAAAAAAAAAGCCTATGAAAAAGGTACCAGGGGCATCTCATGGGGCCCCCTACTGACCTCGGGCAGTGCCCGCGTTTCCGAATGGTCAGTCCACCCCTGAGTCAGGATGAGAGCCACATTCACATCAGAGTCCTCCCTTACATCATTGTCCCCAGAGTGAAACCACCTTACATTACAGTCTGAAGAGTTCGCCTTAAATCAAAGTCTAGCAGAGTCTATAGTTCCCTCCTTACATCAGAGTCCAGCAGAGTGCCCCCTTACATCAGATTCCAGCAGAGTGCCCCCTTAGATCAGATTCCAGCAGAGTGCCCCCTTACATCAGATTCCGGCAGAGTGCCCCCTTACATCAGATTCCGGCGGAGTGCCCCCTTACATTAGATTCCGGCGGAGTGCCCCCTTACATCAGATTCCGGCGGAGTGCCCCCTCCTTACATCAGATTCCGGCGGAGTGCCCCCTTACATCAGATTCCGGCGGAGTGCCCCCTTACATCAGATTCCGGCGGAGTGCCCCCTTACATCAGATTCCGGCGGAGTGCCCCCTTACATCAGAGTTTGGCGGAGTGCCCCCTTACATCAGAGTCTGGCAGTCAGAGCCCATGACAAAGGGATTTTTTACAGGTACTTTTCTCCTGTCGATGAACATTTTCGGACAGTAAAAAAGTGTCTGTTTTATACAAACTGTACATTTATGGATGGTTGGAAACACAGGGTTGGGGTGTACACATACTGCCATT